CGCAGGTGGGATGAATGTCCGGCCCTAAGCCCTGAACCCTAAGCCTAAACCCCATAAACCCTAAAGTAAACCCTAACCCTAACAGGGGCGGAGTACGGAGCAACGGAGTATGGAGCAACGGAGCGGAAAAGCTTGGTGCATGGTCGCCGTTTCCCCCCCAAAAAAAAACACAATTTCAGTAAAACATGCCACACACAATCGCAAACTCTACGAGCCTGCAGCCAGCAAACGAATCGAACGGATCGAAATGTGCTTTGAACCGGAATCGCTCGGCCAAATAGGAACTCGTCTTCAATCGGAACTGGACAAAGGGAGCCCCGATCTGCCTTCAGTGTATTGTGACTGTTGGACTGCATTGTCCGAAGCACACCAAACGCGTGGGAGAGAGGCAACTCTCCCTTCACTGACAAGACACGGACTTGCGGAGTTTCCAGACTGCCAAGGTTCTCCCAACAACATACCATGTGGTCCGCTTTGACTTAGCGGACTTATAACATCACTTATAAGTTCTATAACCATAGTTATAAGTTTGATAACTTAGGCCCTAAGTTTGGTAAGTTCGCTCAGTGTCACAAGAACTTATAAGTTAGTTAGCCTACTTATAAGTTATAAGATGATGTTAACAAAAAAACATGGATCGTACTTAGCGGACTTAGGTTCTTCTTGGGTTTTAGGTTTTTGGATACTCTTTTTTTGAGATGCTTCACTTTTTGACCAAAAAAGCTGTTTTTTTGCCGCAGCATCCTTTCAGCTGCAAAGAACCTTTTTTAGCTTCAAACATGGTGATCTCAAGTCGACAAGAGTCGGGACATGATCGAGCATCCGCGCAACCTCTTCCTTGTAGGTTTCGCGCTGGGGGCTTCTGTATAGGCGGGTTTTGGGATATATAATCCCCTAAATCCTAAACCCCCTGTAAACCCAAACCCTGAAAGACCCAAAACATGGATCTAAACCTGGACCCGCCGGATCTGTAGTAAAAACCGCTCGCATCTGGGCTCGGCGCCATTCGTGTATATTCGTGTATGGATTTGCGGACTATACCTGTTGCATTCGTGTATGGAGTATGATTTCCATGAAATCCGTGGGGTTGTGCCAATTCGTGTATTCCGTGTATGATCATCGCTCAATATTAGGGCCCCGGATCCTTTGGCTGGAAAGGGTTTGGAATTCGTGTATGGCGGATCCGAACTGATTCTTGTATTTCCGTGTATTTTCTTGTATGGCAAAACGCGACGTGGCCCATTCGCTCGCCCGCTCTCTGTCCACTTGGACGCAAGCTCGAGCTTTTTCCTGGGCCTGCAGCCTCCCGCCGTCCCGACCGGCAGCATTGGCTTCTACTTGCTCACGCGGAAACTGAGGCTGCTGGAGACGCATGCCTGGGGATCTGTCTGGGGAAAGCTTCCCGATGAAGCTCTGCTGCCAGTGAACGCACATGCCGAAATTTTAAGGCCATCTTGGTCGAGTGAGCAAGCTGAGAAAATCCTCTGTCTGCACTGAAAATTCAACATGCGAGCAAAAAAAGCGAGCAAAAGCCTCAAAGTTCTGCATTCCGCATAGTTTAACAAAAAAACCACGTTTCAAAACCAAGGTCTACTTAGGTTCTACTTCGGTTTTTCGTTTTTGCTGTCATATATGTAAGTAGCATAAGTAGGCTAAGTTATACTTAGCGTACTTATAAGTAACATAAGCCAAAACGGACCACATGGTAGGAAGTCTGTGGGGGAAACCCGCTTTTCGGAGCCGGCGTATGTCCGCTTTCGGAGGTATGAGCGGCCATTCCAGAACTCCCCCCACTCCCCCACGGTTCTCTGAGCTGAAGCAGTTCAACAGCTCAAGCATCAGTCAGCAGCACAAAGGGATCCGCAGACTACGCACAACAAGATGCAATTTCAGTAAACATGCCACACACAATCGCACACTCTACGAGCCTACAGCCGGCAAACGAAGCGAACGGATCGAACTGCGATTTGAACCGGAACCGCTCGGCCAAATAGGAATTGCATTGCGCACCGCGTGGCAGAGTTGTCCCTTCATTGACAAGACACGGACTTTGCGGAGTTCCAGACTGCCAAGGTTCTCCCAACAACATAGGAAGTCTGTGTGGGAAACCCGCTTGTCGGAGCCGGTGTATGTCGGCTTTCGGAGGTATGAGCGGCCATTCCAAAACTCCTTCTCCGAGCTGAAACAGTTCAACAGACCAAGCATCAGTCAGCAACACAGAAGGATCCGAGCCGCAGACATCCGCAGACTACGTAGGCTTCAAACAGTGATCAAACCAAACTGTCAGAAACCGAACCGAACCGAACCGGCTTGGATGGCATTGCATGGCGAGTGCCGTCTGCATCGCATGAGTCAAGAGCGCGCCGTCCTTGCCTCCGAAGGCATGCTCTTGAACCGCAAAGTCACGATAGTCCGTCAAAGTCATGGCAGCTTGCGCGATCTTCCGCGCTTTGTTTGGGTCAGGACTTCCTGAAGCACTGCTCTGTGAAGTCCAGAGCCACACGGCCCCCCCAAAAAAACAGTATAAATCAAAAAACAAAACATCTGAGAGCCCACTCTCCGAGAGGCGATTCACGCTTCGCTTGCTCGGCGTGCTCAACTTCCTTGGAAGTTCACAAGTCTTGTAGAGAGCGCATTCCAGATGAACCGCAGAAGACGTCCCAGGTACCATCTTAGAGGGGGCATGTTTTGTCGCGGCAACTCAGGCTGGTGCGATCTGCTTCCCTGCCTGCACACGGCCCAAAAATTGAAGCTTGGAGCAGTAAGCCAATGGAATGCTGTAACTTGGCATGCATTTCGGCGCGGCGATTGCATGAGGGCTTCTTACGGCGAACCTGGACATCCCAGTCCGCCCAGCCCACGAAAATCCCTGCCTGATGTCTCGGTCGGAGCACTCTGACTGGAACAAGACGTTGTCCTGCACATCAAGGTTTCGCGAGTCTGCACACCCTTACACCGAAAATGCGCGAAAGCCCCGAGGCAAGCCCAACCTCGTGCCAGGGCGTATGCAATGCTGCAAGCTGCAGTTTGGGCTTCGGGGTTCAGGCCTATGCGGCCTATGCAACCGGGGTCCTTCTCGGAACAACTCTCCTGCTCTTCCTTGGCTGCAGCCACCGGCTGACTCCCACAACGAATCCTTTCATTCTGCTGCCCAGCTGCATTGATCGGAAAGCAGATGACTCCCTGTGAGCCACCCAGTTGTGAGCCAGACCCAATTCTTGGCAGCCGCGGTTGGAAGTGAGCTGGAGCACCTGCCACATCCCGGAAGAGCATCACTCCTCCTGAAAGGCAAAGGGCGTACGATGCAAGTTCCGGCTTACGCGCCTGCTGCCCACCTTGGACATGGCAGCTGTTCTGCGGGCGGAGGTGCAGCCTCCAAGCGGACATCGACAAAAAAGGTTTCAGCTTGCGGCTAAAGGAAACTGAAACATGTGGTACGACCTGTATGAAGAATACCGTCAAGCAAACAAGCCGATGAAGCAGGCTGCATCCCAAACAGCTGCCCAGGGTTCAGGGGTTGGTGTTGGGGAGTTCAGTGGGTCGCCGAAGTGCTAGGCGCCGGGCGCTTAGCTCACCGCTGGCAATGAGTGCTCGCATCCTGGGCGAGTTCAGGACGCACATCCACGCTCTGGAGCTTTAGGGTTTGTGCGCACCTGGGTCTGCGGATGCTGGTTTGAGGTGTTGGGCGTAGATTTAGGGCTCCGGGGCATCGAGACATCTTGGAGTGGATGAACGAACATGCTGAATGAACCAAGCATCTTGTCCAACTGCAGTTTGACCTTTCAGACTTTCACTGCACATGATCTCTCCGAAGCAGCTTCCGCTTCCGCCTGCGCCACCAGTGCATCGGAAATGTTGTCTGCGAGGGACAGAAGGTTGCCTTCCTCCAAGAAGAGTCCTGACAGATCCCAAGATGCAGAAACATATTCCATGGGGCGGTGCGCCTCATCAAGCTGTCTGACGTTTTTCAACAAGGGAAATACACCACGAGTCACCCAAAGGAACCTGTAAGCGAACATGGAACCCACGTGTCCGGAGCTTGCAGACACATGTGCGAGATCGCCCCCTCCCCCCCTCTGTGGGCCGAAACATGTCGGGAGTCGGTGTGGCTCATCAGCTGGTGGTACATGAGGATGTAACATCTGCGGACCTTGGATCCATAGGTGTGGCCATCATGTCCGCCGAGGCCTCGGGCCGGAGGTGTATAGGTTGTCAGAACAGGCACCCCCCTCCAAATCCTCCCCCCATGGCCTCAAATGGGGACCCCTCCTGGGAAACCGGGGTCCGCAAGCGGACGGTTCGCCAGGACCAGAGGCAGTTGAAGCCCCTCCCAGCAGGGACCCCGCCGTTGTCCTGCCCCCCCCCCCCACCCACCCCCCCCCACGCCCCCACCCCCCCTCCCCACCCCCCCCACCTCCCACCCACCCCCACAAAGCCCCCAGTCGCCTTAAACCTTAAGGCTCAACCCTACGATCACTCCAAGCCGAACCCTAAACCCAAAAAAACCCTCAACCCCAAAGCGTGAACCTTGAGCTCTAAACTAACCCTCAACCCCAAACCCCAAACCATAAACCATAAACCCGGAACCCTCAACCCTCAACCCTCAACCCAACCCTTCTTGCTTGGGGTCCAGCGACTTGGGCGCTGCGGAATCACCATGCTCACGCGGATGCGCTGGGCCGGGCCGAGGCGGGTCGCGTAGCGTTAAAATTACATTCATTTAGCATGTCTTTCATGTTCAAGACCTAGCTAGAAGCCGCCTGCAAACGAGTGTTGCCATGACGAAGCTTGCGCTGAATTCCATCGAAGCTGCTGTGCGGATGGCTTGGGGGCAGCACCATGGCGGCCAGGCCGGCCTTCAGCAGCGGTGGGCTCCAAGCATGCTTTAGGAAATCGCCTTGAGCCGGATCGATGCAGCAAGATGCAGCAAGATGCAGCAAGACGCAGCCACCGTGAGCCAATGGAAAGGTGTCAGGAAATTGGCTGAAACTCTAGTAGTCCTCATCTTTCAGCTCATCCCGCATGTCCACCGTGAAGGTTGGCTGCGAGACCTTCGCGTTCGCTGCGCATCACTGGGCAACATTGCGGCAACATGCTGTCAAGAGCTGGTGGGAAGCCGGGAACCCAACGAACTCGATGTCGGAGTCGATCTCCTCGACCTGGACAAGACAAAGTCATTACGATCCACATCGGGCAAGTCGGGCACAAAATGAGGCGCCAGCCGCACAAGGGCCGAGGTCTGGGAGCCCAACATCTTTGGCAACCGCCGGGGCCGTAACCGCTGGGGCTGCAGCCTCCACGCACTGATATCACAGACTCGACGTGAACAAAACGGCAGACGCTTCTCCAAAGCCTCGTTGGTCATGGCCCGCGCGTCAGGCCGTGAGTCACTCCCCAGTCGAGCTACGTGTTTGTGCTTGAGTGCTTGAGTTGGTGCCTTAATGAACGTGAAGGCAATCTTGCAAACATGACGAGTAAGCTTGTCATATATGCTTCGGTCAGGTCGTACTGCGGAAAATGAGACTTCGGCATTGTCCTTGACCAAGGATAGCAATCATGCACAACCTTGCCGAAGATTATCTTCCGAGAGCTTCACACAACTTGATCAAACTGACACAACGACTGCCACAGGTCGTTTGGACAGCATGTGCTCTACAGTGCTTTGCGCGGCTTGGCTGCAGATGCTGCGGCTCAGGGCAACGAATGGCTGCTAAACATGCTGAGGGCCTGTCTCAGGCTAGAGCTGAAGCGCGTCCACAAGAAGCTATGCTAACCCCCATCACATCGAACAATAAGGAGGGCCGTTCTTTTGCTCGTTGTGCTTTCCGAATAGCCGGTACCATGCCAACTTGCAGGGTCGAGAAATAGGAGCAGCCATCGCGCAAGGTTCGGATGAACATCTGGATCGCGTTCCACTCCTGCACCATGCCTGAGGCCACCTGCGAAGGGTCTCGGGATTCGGGCTTGAGGTTTAGGGTTGAGCTCGTGAGACGCAATGCCAGATGCAGCCCCTCTCCTTCGAAGCAAAAATCCTCGCTGGACAACTCCTGCATGTAGTGAATGCTTGGCTCCGGGCAGAGTCTCGAAACCCCTGACACACACACTTTGCCTAACAAAGGATTGCGATCGTGGTAGTGGTAGTAGAGATAGGCCGCTGCCCCGACCGACTTTGTGCTTCGTGAGGGGAGAGTAACAACCACGTACTTTCAGGATTTCGAGTGTTTCAGGTGCTTATAGATGCTTCAAGCCCCTAAGCTTGAGTGCCCGGCCATCACATTCTGCGCCGCCCCGTCCCCGGAAAGTGCGCCCTGGTCCTGGCGGTGATGGGGATTTAGGACTTGAAACTGTGAGGGACGAGGGTTGAAAAAAGACTTCATGGGAGCATGAGGGAAAGGATAGAGAGAAAGAGAAATGGAAAAGGTGAGAGGCATGCTAGGAATGAAGGAGGGGCCATGAATTTGAAACGGATGGTGGGCAAGTGGCAAGCCCAATGCGGTCGTGGCACAGGTTGCCCTTCCCGGGGACGGGGGGGGCGGGGAGTGGGCTCGGACCAGAACCTCAAATCCTTGACGCAACCTTTCCTACCAAACCCGTGACCCGTGAACCCTAAACCCTCCCTACGGGTTCACTTCCAACGTGGTTTTTTCGAAGATACATGTTAATAAGTGCGAGGTTTTGGTCAAGGAGCCCTTGTATGTTATTTGGGAGGACATGCGTTTTGTTGTGTTGTGGAAGACATTGTATGAGCATCTGCCGTGGCCCTTTGTGGAGATGAGGGTGTGGACCCCAGAACACAGAACTTGAAACTCATGGCCTAAACAGCCAAACCTTTCTGAATCGTTTGTATGGCACAGCCGGCGGCAAGTCAGACCGTGCGCACGCAGAAATGTGGCACACTTCAGGTGAGGAGCTTTGGATTACATGTGATTACCCCCTCCCCTCGGCTGTTTGGGGCAAAGCATCCAATCTGAACAGTTGACTCACATGATTCCAACAAGAATTTCTCACAGTAAGCTCGTGATAAGCTTCCATATTGAAGGCAACTGCAAGATCAGCTTGTCGTGCTTCCTTCGTCCAGGCTCCAACAACCGTCGAAAGCCATTTTTGTGAGCCTCGGACAGTCTGCCTTACCCCAGGAGTGAGCCCAGCAGCTGGACATGTCAAAGCTGCGGCAGTGTGGGGGTGAGCATTCAATCAAAGCCCAAGCGGTCTGCGGAACAGAACACCTGCAGAATGTTGCTGGAATACGACATGCCCTGCCTCAGGTGGCGCGTCGCTCGGAAGGTGCGCTTCGCAAAGCTTAGGCAGACTACTTCAGGTCATGTTTCAGGATTGGTGGTGATGGATAGAAGGATACACAGGAAAGCCTGGCACATCAAAGCTTGCAGCATGACCTTTTGGACTTGAGGCATCGGTCTTCCCGAAGTGTGAGCAAGACGGCTTCGAGCAGTTTTTGGTGACAGGGCCAGCACACTGGATCTGCGTTTGATCAAGCACTGCATCTCCCATGGATGCCGAAGAACGTCATTGACGAGACGCGCGAAACAACAGTAATCATGCGGAATTGGTGGGAACGCGTTTTTGCGTTCATCGTCGCTGGAGTCACTGGCACTCAACTCTGCAAACTTGGCGTTCATCAGCATCCTCACGGGGCTGATCGTCAGCTGTGCTGACGATCAGCCCCGTGAGGATGCTGATGAACACCAAGTTTGCAGAGTTGAGTTTTTTTTTTGGAACAGGCCCTGCGGGGCCCTGCGGCTGTCTGAGTGACCAGCCTGGGGCCGCGGGCGCCTGAATTTAAATGCGGCTCATCAAAACCTGAACGTTCGAAGGTTCGTGACTGTCCACCCGAACCTTATAAGCCCCGGCGCCCGCTTGTGGTGAAACAGAATAAATGCGGCTGCCAACTGTTCTGCCCAGAGCATGCGTTTAGGATTGGGGCCCGGATTTAGGGATTGTGTCTTGCGATAGTAGAAAACCTGGATCAGGTGAGAAAAGGGAACTGTAAGTTTGCCTGGACTGGCACCGCGTCGCGACAGGAAACGCTGCAGTAGCTTCCCGGCTTCCCATTAAATGCGCTGGCAGCCCGGCCTTGCCATTCTTGCCTCATGGATCCGGTTTAATTTCCAACAAATGAGATCCCCTGGGCCACAGCGCTTGGCTGGTCACAGCATAGGCTGCGACCATAACAAATCGGGCACCAAGCTCCGGATCCTATATAGCGTCCGCTGAGCTTGGTGAGAAAAGACAGGCGGTTGCCCACTGTTGTCGAGAGCATGCGTTTAGGATTGGGGCCCGGATTTGGGGATTGTGTCGCGTAGAGGCATTTGGGCCCCCTTGCGATAGTAGAAAACTTAGTATTGTAGGGTTTGTAGTTTGTGCATGGTCTTATAGGGCTTAAGGGTAGTGTTGAAGATAGCTTTAGCCGAACGTAAAGTTCAGAATAGTTTCGGGCTTGCGGCGATGGGAGAGGCACACTCGTACTTATCCAAGCTTTGTGCATCAAGCCCAGGAGGAAGCCATTGGCGTATACACAACCCTTATACTCCCCTTACAACCTTAGCAACACTTGCAGTTTCTGATATTCCCGTTGGTTTGTAAACTGGCAAAAAACACCTTGTCCTTGGAATTTCTGTTGGGGAGATAGACAACACTCGACAGTTGAAGAAGGAAACACCGGTCGTGTGCAAGGCTCAAGACGAGGCATGCGATCAGAAGCACCCTGAGATAGTCCTGGCCACGGAAGCCTGCAAGTTGTGATTGCAAATGGGCTGCACCTTTCAAGCCTTAAGCCATGAACAGGTCACCCCGAGACTTGAGAAACCCTGACGAAGTCATGGAGAAACACTGCAGATTTCCGCATGCGCAAGAAGCAAGGCTGCAGAGCATCGCATCACCCCAGACATTCTCTAGCTCGATTGGGGTTACCATATCTTTCAAAATAGATACCTTTAAGGTTCGATCCCCAGCCTCAGTGTGCACGTTAAGTCCAAATCTGCAAGCTGAAGCCCTATAGTAATAGCTTATGGCCTTATGGCTCAGCAATTGCAAGGTTTGGGAAGACGAAGCTCACGCCGACTTTGCAGACTGAAATTCCAGGGGCCTGCACATGCTTCGGGAATTGCAGCACCTCCGTTTTCCTGTCAAGGTGCCAAGATGGTCAGAACAGGCACAGCACGGGATAAAATGCCCGCAGCGTGGCCTGTGACCTGGATGCATTAGAGTTCAAATCTTGCTGGGGGATATGTGGCTTCAACTGCTTGAGCCCCCGATCCGACTTCAAAGTTCAAAGTTGATGTTGGGGTGGTTTCTGTATGGCATGGACCAGGCAGTGCTTTCAAGGCCTGAGCTCCACATTCGCGAAGACATGGGGTGCGTTCTGTTGTTGGCGTTGTTCCGCTCTCCAAGTACGTACTGCAAGATACAATACATCTTTCTGCGCTATGGACAGCTGCAAGAACCAGAATAGAGAAGTCCTCCACAGCTTCAATAAAACATGTGTGAGAGCTCCGCACGCTGCATATTTCACAACTTCGCGGTGCTTGAGTGCTCCGACCTCTGAAGATCGCGTCATCTTGGTGTCCGGCAACAAACACGGTAAGTTGCTTGCAGTGTTTGAAGGTACTCGAAAACTCCAACTGGCTACAGAAATTAATCAACACCATCTCTCGGGTCTCAAGTGTTGCCGGTTGTCTGCCGCCCGCACCATAAGACTGTGTAAACCCCACGCTGAACCCGCGGGCCGAAAATGGTGCCTCTCACGCCCTCCCGTGCATACAGTATTCGGCCATAATTTGGGTGCGGCTCAGGCTCAGCAACCGTTTGACTTCCCACACAAGCTGTCCCTTTGCACAATCGAGTCCCGCCGCATCGGGATTGTGGCAGGTGTAACTCCTGGGCAGGATGCAAGATGTGTCGCATGCCACGATGTGCCCACACAAAAAGCAAACGCTCCACTTCACTTGCCCGGATTTGTGAGAGTCCTAACCCACATATTCGGCAGCTAGTATGGCGACAAGAGGCTGGCAAGGGAAGCCAGCAGCCAGGAGATCAAAGGCAGGCAAGTCGTCAGCGGAGACGGGTCGAACGTCCCCGAGCCTCGGAGTAACGAATCGTAATCTTCCTGCATGCCACACACACACACACACACGCACACACGCGCGGTTTCATTGCTTGCTCCAGGACCTGCATATCAGTTTACACACCTTTAATGGGTATACTACAAATTGGAGCCGTAGCAAAAGAGCATGATCGCCTGCAGTGTTGCCAAGCTCCCCCCACAAGCTCCAAACATTCCTTGGATATCCGGTTGAGGCTGGAACGGAGCCGCCTCCCCATCGGATGCGAAGTTTCGCCTCCAACAGCAGGACTTCAACAAGCCGAAGCACTGCATCTGCAACTAACCTACGGCTAGAACGGCACTGCTTTCAAAAAAGGGAAAGGTAAGGATCCCTCCTTTTGTGACTTGACGGCCCAAGGCGTGATCCCAAAGACTCTCGGGCAGGCCACATGCACGTCCGCCGCGCCGACGTCTTGATTTCGCAGGCGAAGACGCAGCGACCACCTGCTGCCTCCACTTCCAAAATTTTTCTAAGTCGAAAGCAGGTCCCTAGGCATGTCCCTCCCTCCAACTGGGGCTGAGTCCAGTTACCTGTCTTTCAAGAGCGCGGAACGCTCGTGTCGCGAAGAGGGTGGGGTGAATAGAGTGAGTATCCTCCTGCCCAGATGGGGGTTTGCGAAATTCATAAAAGAAAGGGATTACAAACGTCAATCACGCTACAGCGATGAAATAACTTCTATTTCTTGAAATTTCTTGGGTATTGTGGTGATTCTGCTGGTGTCGGCTTTAAGTGAAGCTCGGCCGCCCTCGCCCCCATTGCAAATGATACGATCGGATGGTCCACCCAGGTTTGCGCACGTGATCGCAGGGTGCTCTTTGCGGCACGGCTCAAGGGAGCCTTCGTGACATGAGCGGTTTAAATCGCGGTTTAGGGGCTAATAACGGTTAATCAGGTGGCGACCCTTTCAGGAGCATTGTTGCAGTGTAGGAACG